ATTGTAATATTATATTTATCAAAAGTAATATTCTTTCTATTTGTCATAATGTTTATTGTATTTAGACAGTATTTACAGTAAAAGAAGTTTATTCCTTTCTTACTCTAAAAAAAAGTAGAAACAGATAGAAAAAGAACATTCGTATAATTTTCCAATGATTTTTTTGGATTACTTTTTATGTTTTGATTTGTCGTTTTATAATATTTTATGTAAGTACCAAAATTTAATTATCAGTATTTATATGAATCGACGCATTTTCTATCGGAAAATATCTTTTCACATAAAAAAATCTGTTGAAATAAAATCAAACTATGTACAATAAGTAGATATTACATAGAAAAATATTAAAATTTTATAGAAAGAAAATTTAAGCATTTGTTATTGGCATTTAAAAATGTAATGACTATACAAAAATGAGTTAAAGATTTTTGGAATTTTAAAACAATCTATTTCTCTTATTTTATATAAAACACTAAATAAATTTTTACTATACGAACAATTACAATATCATTAACATTAATTTAACGTTTTTTTTATAAAAAAAATTTTTAATTAATGCATCCCAATAAAATATTTATTTATTAAAACATCTTTCATTTAAGTACTATCTACATTGAGTATACATTTTATAAAGTACAAACATTGTTTTTTTATCTAAATAAATTTCCATTAAGTTTTATGAATACTATAAATATTACTAGAAGATAGTCATATTATATACATCTCTAGCATTGTCATATAGAATTAATAAAAATTTTCATTTCCATTATACTTGTGCACAAAAATAAACCATAATATTAAAAATAACCATGAACTTTAGGTACAGCTAAATATGATTGAAAACAAGTCATGCTATTGAGCTTACAGATTTCTATTTTCGATAATAGTTCCCGATCTGTTTTTACATCAGATATTGTTATATCATCACCCAATATGTTGAAAAGTACTAAATAAGTAATACCCAATTCAAGCCACATAAATGTTTTGGTATTATATAAAAATGTTTCATGTGGTAATTTTTGAACTGTTTCAAATAAAAGTGCTATTTGCTTCTTATATATTATCATCCGTTTATCTTTGTCTTGCTCAAAGCCTGCAAAATATTTGTATGCTCTGGATATATATAATATAATTGCTCCATGAATTGTCGCGTCCTTCTCCATAGTAAAATATTTTATTGCTATTTCAAACCATGCTATAACCTTTTCAAAAACTATTTTAATATCACTTAAATTTGACAAATATTTATCAGAGATCTGAGTAAATGAAATCTCATCTTTTAGCTCTTCTTCCAAATCAGTAAATATTAAACATTGTGCTAATTTTTCTTCCGATTTTGTAGAATTGGAACATTCTAAGTTATCAACTTCACAAGATTGATTTCCTTTATTTAGTAATAATTTTTCTTTTGATGCATGCAAAAGCTGAACTCCATATTGTCCGCATAATTTAGCAAGTTTCGCATTGTGATATTGATACTTTGTACAAAATATATTCAATAGTAAATTTGAATCTCTGTCATTTATTGTTGTCTCTGTCATCTTTGTCAATGTTTCCACATTAGCTTTCTTAAGCATACAGTATGCAGCGGCAATATAATGTCTAGCTTCAGTAAAGCGATTGTGGTGTATAAAATATAAAGATAAGTCAGCTACAGTCATAGCCCAATCCTTATAATATTGACGTATAGACTCTTCCTTTATTAGATTGTTCAATAAATTGTGCATACAGTTAACAAATTCAACCATGTTGTCTGGATTACGTGTATACTCTATTGATAACTCTTTTAATATTTTTATGTAAAGAAAGTCCAAAAACGTCTTAGGATTCAATTCTTTTGCATCTTGTTCAAAGCCAAGTGTTATTCCAACATAAATAGGAGTAGGATATTCATTTTTTGTGTATTTAAAATACGTGTTGACAGCACCAAGTAAAAATTTAGAACGTTCTTCTAATCTTTGTTGTTTTGAACAAATAATTGAAATGCTATTATATGCTCTCATAACTGTCAAAATAGTTTTACTATCTAGCTGTTTGCCTTTTAACACACTTAGACATGCTAGGAAGAATTTCTCTGCTTTTGCATGTAGAGTGTCTGCATTTTTTTTAATTTTTTCTTCCATTGTCATGTATATTATACCAAAATTAAGTAAAGTTAATGCAAAAGCTACAATATTATCAAATTCTGTATCTGGTTTGTTGGTCATTGGTTCAATCATCTTAAGTATTTTGCTTTCTAGTGTTGTAAATATCTTGTTTTCTTTTTTTGTAAATTTTCCTATTTTATTTAATGAAAAACTAAAGATTTTATATGACGATTTCAACATTTCTCGAAATTTTTCATCAATATTCAGCATGATTTTTTCAGTTAATTCCTCAGCTAAACATAGATAAATATTAAAAGATTATTTTATGAACATTATACAAAAGTATTTTAAACAGATTTTTACTTACAATTATTACCAGAAATGATCCTCTGTTTCGATAAATATAAATCAACTAGCTTTAGAATTTCCGACATTTCCGACATTTTTATTTAATATCGCGATGTGCTCCCTTATCAATTACTCACAAAATTATTATTATTGTACACGTGGTGAATTTATTCAACATGTCATGAAGAATGAATTGGTAAAAATTTCTGATTGATGTAAAAATGGGTTAAATCGTGAGAAAAATAATAGGTGAATTGAACAAGAATCCTAAAATACGAAGAGTGAGGTAATAAATCTGATTGGCTACGCCATACAAATATCGATAACATACAAATATATATCGATAAAGAGTAATTAACATCGATAACAAAATTTAATAACTCAGATCTAATCGGCATATTTGGATTATTTTAAATGTTTTCATTCTTAATCTGTTATCAAGAGACACGGTAGTGTCTGGCGCCAAGTTCACGCGCAGCGCAAGACCGACCGTGTCCCAGGGAGGACAACAGGTCTAATTGACGGCTAATAGACGTCTATAAACGTCTATAGACGTCTATTAGATGTCTATTAGATGTCTATTACGTTTCTTAGACCTGTTGTTCTCCCTGGAGTATCTTTACGCGAGACGGAAGGTTCAGATGAGTCGAGATTATCGGATCTCAATAACGGCTGGGCCGATTAAGTTGGTAATAGGCTCAATCGAAAGCGCATACCCAAATTACATAAGAAAAGTATGCTTGTTTTTGCTCTGTGTGCTTTATAAATCAAGATATATGCATCCAAAGTCGAGAAATCTAAAAAATCGTCATTTTTCTCGGATGTCACGCTGAAATGTAACGCATGTCTTATTGGTCAGCGTCGTCAGCACGCAACCAATCAGAACGCACTCAACTCAGATTTCTAATATGGCGGCGCTCAGACCTGTCAGCTCGCAGCTTTGATGTTATTAATTAACGTTGATATAATTAATATCGGTAGTAAAATGTATACATAACGTGTTGTGGAGACGAATAAAGATAGTGTATATCAAAATAATAGTATTATTTATGAAAAAAATTTTTTTCGATCTTAAAGTGCAGAAGTGTAGCAAGACATGTTGACAACACTCTCAGTATTCTGTGGTTAGTGGACAGATAGAACAGTATGAAATTGACTGGAAATGATAAATATTGTTAGAACTAATTTAGTATACATAGAAAAGAAATATTAAACTTTGATATTTAATTTTATTTATTTTGGACAAGTCATACACTAAAGTCTCGAATCATGTGCTTTTGACAGAAAGTATGATAAAATTAAAATTTATACAATCATAC